TTAACATGTTCGCCCCGGTGGCGGGGGAATTAACAAAATACCTGTTTTATCCATGTCATGAGCGGGGATTAAACAGTAATACGAATTTTCGGAAGCGGGGATAGAAGCGGGGATTTAACATGAGTGACTAAAGGAAAAGCCTCGTTTCCCAAAGTTTTGTACGGCGGCAGAAGAGAGATGATGTTGCAGAGAATGATAATATCAAAACAGAGGAGAAACAGGGCAGGAAGGCACAAAACAGGTTGCTTTAGTCTCAGACACAGAAAGAAAGCGTATAGAACGTCCTACACATTGGTCGAGCGTTGCCTTTCAAGGACTTCACAAATCTCATTTGAGTCTCATTTGTTCACCTCCTACGTAAACGACGATAAATTAATCCCAAAAGCGCTTTCCTAGTTTCTCGGTTCCTCTCCCATTACTTCCACCATTAGGAAAATTGGAGAAAGACAGAGCTGTTTCGCATCCCAGGGGGTAATCTGGGAAATTCTCGGTGGGGGTGTGCCGCCTAGTTCTCCAAATCCTGACCCTATTTCAGACCAAAAAGTGTCATTTTCCACACCCTTTCACACCTGACCTCTAAAATCCACACCCGTTTTCAGACCTGACATTTAGGCAGAAATTATGTCAGAATTACAGTCAACCGGCCCTTTATGGTGGACACTGTAGGGACCTCAAGTTACTGTCCTCATTAGCGAGAGTCCGTAATAGCGGGAGTCAAACGTCTGTAATTTGTTTTTGCCGGGGAATTTAGCTGCTGTCCGTATTATTGGGGTGTTCGCAAGGCGAGAGTTGACTATACCTAAATGGCTTACATAAGAAAGTACCTCTCCCCCCCAGATTTCGCTTAAGATCCCTTGCCCTTACAAGAATACCACATAGAACTTACTTTTTTGTAAGCCATCTAATCACATTTTTCTACAGTGGCTTTAGAGGTCCGTTCTCAGGAATTAGGTAAGAAAAAAATCCTCTGGCACCCAGGGTAACATTTTTCATGAATTTGAAGGAACACAATCGAGAGTTTCTATTAACAGGTCCGATGGTTTGAAGTTTAAGAAATACAGAATACCAGATCAGACAGAGCGTTTGAAATCGAGCCTAGAACTACACTTTACTAATTCCCTGCTATACGGGGCTTTTAACAAACTACTTGGCCCGGGGAGCGGGAAAATTGGCGATGTTTTAACACCAAACCAATGTTAAATTCCCCGCTAAGTCCCGGAGGTCGGGGAGCCGGAGTTTAAAATGACTGATGCATAAACTTAAAGAAAGGAAGCTGGTGACTAAACCTGTTCCTGTTCAATCTCTTTTTTAGATGATGAATAAGCTTATTAACTAAACTATAACCCACAGATAAGAACTTGCCTGATCTGGTTTGGCCAACCTGGTTCTTATATTGTTGGATATTAAAGAAGCAAATTTCTGACAGCAGGTTATTAAGCCACTAGGCTCTTACACGCGGGTTTTTACTGCATTAAAAACTAACTCAGTATCCGGCACCAACTCGGAAATCCTCCGTAATGGAGACTTACAAATGAAGGCTCCTGAGCGTATTTGACTATCTCTGACGGACAGAAAAAATAGAACTGTTCACACAAATACTGAAAGTCTTACTAAATATTTAATAAACTTTCACAAAAAAAGGTGAGTGATAACTAACCTGCTCCTGCTCATGCGCTGATTCAGGTGATGAATCAGGAAAGAGGTCAGGGTAAAGCAATTTCCAGATGTTCTCTGTTGGCCAAGCATGTTCAGGGTGGAGGTTTCCTTCAAGATCCTTCAACAAAATACAAAACAATACTTAAAACCAGCTATCCCCCTTTAATTAAGTGTGGACGTATACACATTTGAAAACCTTTTTTCATTTTAAGTCCCATGCGGTTACACTGACTAAAAAAGACAACTGTTTATGTGTCAACAACTTTGACAAGATGCACTAAGTTCAAAACAAGCCTCGCGTGCCGAAGGCAAAGACTTGGCCTATAAAATAAAAGGCAGTCTTTGACTGCGGGTGGCTACTGTTTTAGTTTTGTAGAATATATTGCAACAAGAGAGGATAAAGGGGACAGAGAAGGCATCCCCCATACACACCCTATTCCATAGGTAATTCGTCTCGAGTTATTTTTAGAATCGGGATAAAGTTACCTCGCGCGCTGCGTAGATGTTTCGTGGAGGTTTCGCATGACTAAACGCCACGCAAAACATGTCGGACGAAAGGCAATGAAAGCGTCAAGAGATCGAGAGCATTTCTGAATATTGAAGCGAAATAAGTCGGCGCTCACCTGGGAAAAGGGAATCGCTCGTCTCTTTGACAACCCGTGAAATCTAGTTTAGTATTAGAAATATGGACTTTCACTGTATTTTTCTCGGGAAAAAGGCGATCATTATTACATCAAAACGCGGCACGAGGATCTTTTTGCCCATTACAATCTTATTCGAAGAAAACTTTAAGAAAAAATGTCCCGCAAAACGCTCGAAAATACAAACGAAATGTGCTCATGCCCCCTGGGCATCCTATAATACTCCTTAAATCGAATTAATTCAATATGGCCGCCGTATCGGTAAAAAGGTCTATTACCTATGGAATAGGGTGTGTATAGAGGATGCCCTCTCTGTCCCCTTTATCCTCTCTTGATTGCAATAAAACAGGAATGAAAATTGTAGGAAACGATAGAGATTGTTTATCCATAAAAATACTATCTTTGCTTTAGAAGGCATATATTTTAAAAACATCAACAACAAAACAAAAAAACCAACAAAACAAAAACGAAAAGGAAACAAAAAAGAGAAAGACAGAAGGAATACAGAAAGGCTACTGAGCAGGATTCGAACCCAGCACCTTGTCAAAAATTATACGAGCACAAAGTTAATGTTTTAAAAACAACTGACAAACTATTTTTAAGCGTCTTTACAATTATTTGCTGAGAGAAATTTTTCCTAGCGAAGATTTTGACTTCTCTTGCGTGATGATAAGGGATGGGGAGGAGGACCCTCTCTCTCCGGCGTTGCATGACATAGAGAGAGAGAGAGAGAGAGAGAGAGAGAGAGAGAGAGAGAGAG